TCAGAAGGCGGCCTTTAATCTGATACAGGAACTATCCGAGCCGTTCATGCCAGACTGAGGAGAGAGGTGTTGTAATAATGTAAAATATGTGAAAAATAAGGTGTTTTTCGAACAACCTAGTATGAGAGCGTACACCCCTACACCCCCAAAACAAAATCAAGACTTTGTAAAAGAGCATAACAGGACCCCTTTAACACAATGTCTTAAACGTTCATGGTTTCATGGTCAAAGCCATTCATCTAGAGCAGTGTTTCCCAACCGGGGTGCCGTCTGTCTAAATTGCTAAATGTTCAAAAAAGCATCTATTATATAATATCCATTTCTGATGTCGCCAATAATTAGAGATGCACCGAAATTTCGTTCACTGCTCAGATTTCACTTTCACGTGGTGTGACGCTCTGTGTATTATCTCGCTCTATGCATGTGCGCTCCGCTCAGTCGCTCCACTCATATACCGTTCATGCGAATCGGAAAAGCAAATTCCACTCAAAAATTAAGCCGACTGGAAACATCTATGTAGTACAGTATAGTTTCTGTCTGCAATAGCCCTACTGTGTTGTAACATGATGTGGTATATGGGCAATTCTGGTAACGCTGCCCTAAACATTATTTGGATAATTGGTAAAAAAATAAAAATATCTTAATAGCCCTACTGTGTTAGACCTACCTGAAAAACTAAAAAGCAATTTATTTAATTCGAAGGCCTGTCGTTATTTGTGCTATCATTATTAATTTCTTTATTTGTTTTTATTTTATTACTGACTGCTTACTTGTCATTTTTTTATTCAATTCAAAGTTTGAAATCAACCTATCTCGTGCTACAGCACCAAAATTACCACTGTAAAATTTAAAAAACACTGAGTGAGCAACAATTTGTGAGATAGCTAGTTATAATTAAATAATGTTTACATATGTATAAAAGCCTACATTAAAATCTGTCATATAAATTGGTCTCTTCATTAGAAATAAGCCTACTGATTGCCACCATTGATGGACACATTTTTTAAATAGTGTTAAAAATATCTGTTTGACATTATATTCTGCAGTTCTTCCCTGTTGTACCAAATATCTATACTTTTCAAATTATCATATCGAAGTTAGAAATTCAAATATTGTGACAAAATTAATTTTGTAGGGTGCCACAAGTTTGTTAAAATTTCCAAAGGGTGCCGCGACTAAAAAAGGGTTGGGAAACACTGATCTAGAGCACATTTAAACAATTTAAAAAGCAGTGCAATGGAACACAAAAAAAGGGTTCAGTGTGAATCAGCCCTAAGAAATTCTTTACTGGAGTGACAGTCTAATCAGAAGTCTACTTACTGTGTGTGCCAGCTGAGCTAGGCTTGATAAACTCTGCATGAGGAGGGAAATGCATGAGGCTTTCTGGGATAGCTGTTCCTTCAGGACTACATTCATTTCCTTTTCTGCTTGAGGCTGTGTTGACACACACTGCAGGGGAAGCAAGATGATATCCATAGCCTTCCTCTTTAAAACCTCAGGACTAAAGGATAAAGTGAGAGAGAACACTTCAGTGCATATTACAATACATAACAGACTGCTAGATCAAATGTATGTATTTTGCGTCTATAAGTCTACGGTAGTCACCATTTCTCCAGCTTAACAATTAATGCCGCACACTGAAAACACTCCTTTCTGTTTCCATCACCCAACATGGCTTCTAATAACTCCTCCACTTTATACTCCGATTGGTTGAGCAGAGGTGTCCTGTAACATTAACAATAATCATTTCCCTGCATCCTTGCATTAATTGTTTAAATTAAATAGCAACAGTTACAAAAGCATCTCTGACAATAACATTGAGTACATAATATAGAATGTACATTGTTGTATAGTCTTCCCTTAAAACAGGAACTGAAATAAACTATAGTAATATTTCATTGCCATTTATTGGAAAAAGACAGAAAGGCCTACCATAACTCATTGGTTAAGAGAAATATCTTCATGCATTGCAATGGAAAAGATAACCTATATGCTTAAGGGTAAACAAGCTAAATTTAAGAAAATATGGAGTCCATTTTTATTATTTATTGAATGTAGGGATATTAACAATATAAGAAAGGATCAAAATTGGGTATTTCAATATTTTAATGTGCATTATATTTACCCCTTACAACTGCGGTTGTTATTGTTTGAAATGGATTATTAAATCTACCTTCCAAAGTACAGACTGTATTAACCCTTATGTTGGTTTTGTGCTTTACACTTTTTATGTAATATGAGCCCCTAGTGTTTGTTTGTTTTCTTTTCTGTACATAGTAAGTATTGTTACAGACACGGTATGTACATGTGTCAGTCTTGTAAGTGTTTCAAGAAAATTTTATAAAAATAATATTACAAACTATAGTAATATTGTACTGTATAATAATTCGTAAAAAAACATTAAAAAACATTATATTACCACTTTAACTACAAAAATTTGTACTAGAATAAACAGGATTAATTAATGTAACCTATTGAAATATGTAAGGGATAAAGTACGTTTCATTATCATGAAACTATTTATAGTAAATAAATAAATAATTGCATTTACAAGAAATATTGATCTGAGATCAATCATAATAATTACATTATAATATAATTATAATATACGCCACTGGTCAAAGTTTTGGAATAGTTAAGTTTTCTGTAATGGTTCTGAAATAAATCTTTTATGCTCACCAATTTGATAAAAAAAAATACAGGGGGAAAAATATAGTGAAATATTATTACAATTTAAAACAAAGGTTTCCTATTAAAATATATTTTAAAATGTAATTTATTCCTGTGATGGCAAAGCTGAATTTATTTGCAAAATGTTATTACAATTTAAAATTTTCATTCAAATGTATTTTAAATTTGTAATTTATTCCTGGGATGGGAAACTTTTCAGCAGCCATTCCTCCAATTTTCTGTGTCATAAATCATTTTTGCATTCACAGGAATACATTTATACATTTAATAAAATATAATTTATTTTATTGAAATTACATATTACATTTCTACTGTATTTTTAATACTTAATTATTCAACACTTTTGACTTTTAGTGTATGTTATTATAATGTAATTTTTTTGCTAATAAAAATATTTCAACTCCAATTAATAGATAAATAAGATGTAACAAATCTCCTATTCAACTCACCCCAAAGCAGCTTCTAGAACAGTTATCAGAGTCTGAATCAATGATTCAGACCCCCTGTTGACCAAGACTTCCAGGGGTACTAGCACATCTTTCCACAGTGTGCTTAAGATAGGCTCTCCACACTGAGAGAGAACCAGTGACAGAAGCCGTAAGCCCTGGAGGACCTGAGGACAATCCTCTGAGCTCAACGCCTCAACCACAGCATTCATAATCTCAGAGGAGACCGAGACCCAATCAGGCCTCAACGATGATTCACTTGATCCCACAACATCACTGCCGCTCGTCATGTTTGATGACGTGAGGAAATTTAGGATATGCACTAGAAGCTGATTAGCCAAACAGGCAACAAACAGACTCCTGTCGTTCTGCAGCTGGAGAATCACTTTGATGAGTCCTGTGGACACAATAGCATTCATAATAACACTTAAAGCTTGAAAAGTTCAATAATATTTTTTCATTGTTTCATCTTACACTAAATACCAGCAAACAGGCAACTAACTAACTAGAATACTTAGAATTAAAACAACACAACGTGTTTACTTTTGTGTGATGGCCTTTCATAAATATTAAATACAGAGCATGAATGTTTATGTACACTGTCATTCAAATGTTTGGGGTTGTTATGATTTATTTGATCAAAAATACAGAAAAACAGTGATATTGTGAATTGTGTAAAATAAAATAAAATAAAAATGCAATTTATTCCTGTGATAGCAAAGCTGAAGTTTTAGCATCACTTCATTCTTCACTGTCACATGATACAATGTTGAAAATTATATGCAGATATTATTATTATTATCATTTTTATTATTATTTACGGTAATAATCAATATATCATGGTACATTTTCTTTGATGAATAAAAAGTTCAAAAGAACAGCATTTATTTTAAAATTAAATCTCAATGGAAACGTCTTCACTGTCACTTTGGATTTGAATTGAATGCAATTTAAAAGTATTAATTTATTCACAACTGTTCAAAAATTGCTGCACTTCTTCTGCTATCTAAATTAAAGTAGCTGCAATCACATTGCAATCTAAACCACATATTTTGTTGCATTTACTTTATTACACTTACAGGGCTATATCTCCTATTGTCTTGCCGAAGTCCATTTTTACTCGCATACAGTCAAACCAAAAATTATTCAGACGCCAGATATAATTTTGGGAATTTTTGTTTACTAGTGGGTGCAGGACACTATAGTTCATTTATGTAAGTGAGGATAGCAAAACAAAGTAAACTGTGACATATTATACCCAAAAATTCTTCATTCAGTGGACTACCAAAAAAAAATTTGGGACCAAAAATCATTCAGACACTTTGATATGACCATGTTTTGCTTAAAGAGATAGTTCACCCAAAAATGAAAATTCTGTCATTAATTACTCACCCTCATGTCGTTCCAAACCCGTAAGACCTTCGTTCATCTTCGGAACACAAATTAAGATATTTTTTATGAATTCTGACATCTCTCTGACCCTCCCATAGACAGCAAGGATCCTTACACAATCAAGGCTCAAAAACGTAGCAAGGAGATCGTTAAAATAATCCATGTGACATCAGTGGTTCAACCGTAATTTTACGAAGCTACATGAATACTTTTTGTGCGCAAAGAAAACAAAAATAAGGACTTTATTCAACAGTTCGTCTCCTCCGCATCACCCTATAGCGCCATTTTGGAGAGTATCACCTCCATAAACAACGTAAGCAACGTATATACGTTGTTTACGTTCAGATCAAAGAGCAAACAACGTAAACAGCGTATCCGCGCGCGGTGCAGCTGACACAGAACAGCATACGTTGTTAACGTATGTGATACTGCATCAAAAATATCTTAATTTGTGTTCGAAGATGAACGAAGGTCTTACAGGTTTGGAACGACATGAAGGGGAGTAATTAATGACAGAATTTTCATTTTTGGGTGGACTATCCCTTTAAGTGTTTTTCTTTAATTGCTAATGCAACCATTTTACACCACAGACGGAACAAAATTAACCATTGCTTGGTGACTGGTTGACCTAAATTGGTTTTATCTAATTGTTTACTTAAATTTAACAGCTGACAGCTATTCAACCTAATTCATTACATACCTTTCTATGACATTATCAAGATGAATTTGTTCCGACACAGTTTAACTCTAAACTCTTGTCATATTTTATTACCATTTTCTAAACTAAATCGAATAAACTATGAGAAATGTTCAAGGTGTCTGAATAAATTGTGGTTTGACTGTATGCTTTCTGAATAATTTTGGAGCTGTTCTCACCATTTCCACATATGAAGCCCAAGGCTTGCTGGTGTTTCAGCATGTCCAACAGTCCCTGCAGCCAGCCACTGCGAACCGAGGCATCCTCCCAGAGATCACACACACCCCAGGCTTCCCGCTCAAACACATACACCAAAAGACCTCCCTCCTGATCTCCATAAACAGACAACACACAAAACCGGATGTTATTGGAAAATGCTGCAAACTGCAAAGTATATCATTGAACTTTTTGTTGTTGTTTGTGTGTGTGTTAGAGCAGTGGTTCTCAACCAAGGCACCAGAGCCCACTAGAGGCCTTCAGCAAACCTCAATGTAAATTAATATAATCTTAAAAATGACATTACATATTTTAATATTTTTCAAGCTGAAAAATATTTTATTGGGTAGAAATTGCTATTTGTATATATATATATACACACACACACATATATATATATATATATATATATATATATATGGACATTAATTTGAGCGAGCAACTCTGCCACTGATGTTGTAAAAATATCGTGGAAACTGTCTCACATCAAGCAAGTGGAACCCCTGCGTTGTGGCAGCCAGAAGTCCAGTCAGTTTGATGGTGAAAGACAAGATAGCAGGATCTGTCGTTTTAGACGTACAAACACTGGAAATGAACTCCAAGAGGCACGGCTGGCACGGCTGATGCTGCAAAAGCACCTGTCCATTACCTGAAGAAACACATACTAGTTACCTATAGATACACTACAATATATTACTCTACCAAAACTTCTCAACTCATCAAAAAAATATACATTTGATCCCAGGTTACTTACTTTGGCTGTGCAGCTCTTTGAACCAATCAAGCAGCTTCTCTAAAGAGGTGTCATCAGGTGGAGACTGCTTTGGGTCGGCCAGGACCAGGCAGACCGCTGGCAGCAAAGATAAGCAGTCACTGTCCATGATATCAAAGTCCCTGGATCACCAGCACATAGTTTCTCCAAACAGGACAAGTCTGTTTAATGTAGTACTCGGTCAAATCACACTGGAAGTAGCAACAATAAAATATGTTACCTATATAAGTTACCTTGACACAACAGGGTACGTAAGTATAGAGAAATGATTCAAACGTTTGCAACTGTCTTGCATAACAAGACTTTAAAAAGCAAGTGGAAAAGCATCTTCACTCTGAACGTAACTACAATAAGGAAACAAAACACCCATGTATCACATTTAAAACAGCTTGATATAAAAGTGAGCTGCACTTACTGTACTTTCGCTCCGTACGGCGTGCAGGAGATGACACAAAAGAAACTACATCCTGTGCGTTTACGGCGCGCAGCGTTGACGCTTCTAGCGGAGTATGCGCAAATCCGGCGCACTTTAATGTTCTTGAATAGCGTAACCGCCTCGCACTCACTCGCATGGTTACAGCACACACGTTTTGAGAGTTCCTAACTGCGCAGTCAAGAGGCAGCCAGCATCAACACTATCTGACGCATTTCTACTAGTTGTGTAGCTAAAAGCAAACACACTGCATCATACTCAACAATTCCAGCTTGTCAAATGCAGGATACGGTAAACTGCTATTAAAAAAAATCCCTGAGCAATAATATTATGACATCTTACTTTATTGTGTTTTTCTGTGCGCTAAGAATAAAAGGACAATTTCTGATAATTTGATAGCAAGCACAAAATATGTGTCATATGCATCCTGTCATATTTTGCACATCTGTCATTTATATATATATAATTAATTCAGTTCTGTTTTTGCTACTTTCGGGCCTTGCAAATATTTTGCATGCTTTCCACCAGAATACAGTTATTTTCATAAAAAAAATATTACATTTGAAATTGAATAAAATATGTTTTATTAATTTGTATATTAAGACATCACGTGATGATTTTATTAACATGATACTAATAAAACCATTAAATAAATAAAACATTAGAAAAAATATTTCACCTAAAATGTTCTTTACACGGAAACATTCAAATTAACTTGTTAATTAATATGATTTGAAATTACTTTTTATTCATTAGGTTACAGTTAATTGTCAGATTAGGTAACAAGTTTTAAGTTTTTTTTATGTTTTTACACTTTTGAAGAAATAATAATGTTTTTATTATGATTTTATAATAGTAATTATATATTTTATTTTCTCTACTGAGGCTAAACTCTACTGTACGGCAATGGTAGGATCTATTTTATAAAACATCACATTTTAAATTTGAATGCAGGTATTAAATATAATGTTTTGTATAATATGTTTTCCAGTAGCCCAATTTCTACTTGTGAGTGATTAAGTTATCTGTCGTTTTGTGCAGAGTTGTTGGAGGATGTTTTGAGGGAGAGACCTTTGGAGGCTGATGGGATCGATTCGGTGGTCGTGGTGGACAGCGTTCCCCAGGTGGGGCCTGAACGTGTGGAGAAACTGAAAAATGTGATCCATAAAATCTTCTCCAAGTTTGGAAAAATCACTAATAATTTTTACCCTGAAGTGGCTGGGACGACAAAAGGGTAAGTTGAATTTTACATTTTTTCAGATAAAACTATTAACTATGATTGCAATGATTCAGATTTTTTTTATAGACCATGATTTGGTGATAAATGTGAAATGTTCTCTGCAGGTATATCTTTCTGGAGTACGCCTCCCCAAACCAGGCTCTGGAAGCTGTTAAGAATGCAGATTCTGGACAAAGCTGGACAAACAGCACACATTCAGAGTCAATCTGTTCACCGATTTTGATAAGTATGTTTTCAGAGGGTTTCATATGTTTGGAAGATTATAACTGGTTATGAATGACTTATGACTGTTTTTCGCAAGCTGAAAAAAATACAGCTTTCTGTTACTATACAAATATTGAGGTTCACCAGTGATTCAGATCTTATGCAGCATTTATCTGTGTGTTTTTCAGGTACATGAATATCAGTGACCAGTGGGAAACCCCCTGAAAAACAGCCATTTAAAGGCTTTGTACATACTTCTGCTTCTGTTATTTGGAAGAAAAAAAAATCAAGCTTAGCTTAAAAGATTTAAAGATCTGTGCCTGCATTGTCTTTATACTTAAAAACTTGGTATTGTAAAGCGCCAGGAATGAGACATTTCAAGATTATAGGACTATGGGTGTGCGAGTTTGGCTTTTTCTTTTTTTTTCTTGTTATGTTTTTAGCCAATGACAATGGCATTACATCATTTTCTGCCACTGTTTACCAGGGCAACATGAGGCACTGGCTTGAGGATCCAGACTGTCGTGATCAATACAGTGTAATCTATGAATCAGGAGAGCAAACTGCCATATTTTCCAATGACTCAAAGGAGCCAATCCTGGTTGAAGAGAGAGCTGTGAGCACATTTCCTTTAAAACAAACTTCTTTCAGGGTTATTTTAGTATTATTTATTTACTATTAAATAATGAATATAAGTTATTATATTAGTTATTTTAGATTGCTTTAGTGTTAGTATTATTAGTATTATTTATATGCTAAATATTATTAATATTTAGAATTTGAATGTTTGTCATTTTAGTTAGTTTTAATAATTTTTTTCTTTTTTATGTATTTTTTCTTTTGATGTTATTTAATGTTTTTATTTCAGTTTTAGTAGTTTTAGCACTCAAATAATTTTGTTTAAGCAACATTTCTAACTTTAGTTTTTTTAAGTAAATATTTTTTTAAATCTAATATTTATTTAATTTTGGTTTATTTAAATGAACAAACATTTCTTTAACATTTAATAAACAATAACAAAACTGATTTGCTTTAAACTTGCAAGTGTTCAAAACCCAGTTTTTCTGAAAGGATAAAGATTTGATATTTGCTCTAGAGGTTTTCATCTAGACATCGATTGGTGGAATAGTAATGTTCAAATTGCTCATCCACAGTGTTTCATTTACAGTATTAATTGCAAGCCTAGTGATCAAAAGTGTTAAATTTTTTGATGTCTACACTTAATTTTGACTACTTTGTCATGTCATTCTACCAAGCAAATAAATGCGGTATCCTTACATTATTTACACTGGACAGAGACTTACGTGCGTTGGTCACTCAAAGGGACATATCTGGCCACCTTTCACCAGCGGGGAATTGCATTGTGGGGTGGAGAGAAGTTTAAGCAGATACAGAGATTCAGCCACCAGGGTGTCTCTCTCATTGACTTCTCCCCATGCGAGAGGTAAACACCTGAGAAAGAGAGCGAGAGCAGCTATTACAGAGTCACACATGTGAATAACACATTAAAAATGTTCATCAGGTATGTGGTGACTTTCAGCCCACTGATGGACACTAAAGAGGACCCTCAGGCCATCATCATCTGGGACATCCTGACCGGACAGAAAAAGCGTGGCTTCCATTGTGAGAGTTCGGCACACTGGCATATTTTTAAGTGAGTGTTTTAATTAGCCTTTGTTCGTGTTTATGTACCTTTCACTCAGATAATAAGAATTTCTAAATTGGTTCTCTCACAGGTGGAGTCCAGATGGAAAGTGCTTTGCCAGAATGACACAAGACACTCTGAGCATCTATGAAATCCCAGTAAGGCGTTATCTTTAATTAATATGTAGTTGTTGCATTTACTCTTGTAATTTTTATTAATACCTTTGTTAATTTCTTCCAGTCAATGAGTCTGCTAGATAAGAAGAGTTTGAAAATAAGTGGAATAAAGTAAGTCTTAACAAACATCTGCTGTATTGTAGAATGGCATAATTCATCTCGGATTTATTTTAGTACCATGGAGATAAATATTAGTTATTAGATAGTTATTATAGTTGCTAATAATAATAGATAGCTATTTCTTATGTGTGTGTGTGTGTGTGTGTTAAATGTTTAGTAAATTTACTGTTTTAATTATGTCTGTATAGGTTTTGTATATATTTTTGTTTCAGTTGTTGTTATTTTGGAAATCGTTGTTATCAGGGAGTCTGATTATTGTAAAGTGCAACCCAAAAAATTTTTTTCCTGTTCGACAGAGATTTTTCTTGGTCCCCGGGAGACAACATTATTGCTTTTTGGGTCCCAGAAGACAAGGACATTCCAGCCAGGGTAACGCTCATGCAGTTCCTGTCCCGTTTAGAGATTCGGGTGCGGAATCTTTTCAACGTGGTGGACTGCAAGCTTCACTGGCAACGGCAGGGTGACTACTTGTGTGTGAAGGTGGACCGAACACCCAGAGGAAGTGTGTGTGTGTGTGTGTGTGTGTGTAGAAGACTTTATAAGACTTAATCACTTGTTTTCATATTTCCCCTATTTGTTTTCTGTTCTTCAGTAGGGTATCGTCACAAACTTTGAGATTTTCCGCATGAGAGAGATGAAAGGTGAAGTGAAGTGAAGTGAAGTGACATGTGGCTAAGTATGGTGACCCATACTCGGAATTAGTGCTCTGCATTTACCCATCCAAAGTGCACACACACAGCAGTGAACACACACAAACCGTGAACACACACCCAGAGCAGTGGGCAGCCATTTATGCTGCGGCGCCCGGGGAGCAGTTGGGGGTTCGGTGCCTTGCTCAAGGGCACCTCAGTCGTGGTATTGAAGGTGGGAGAGAGCGCTGTACATTCACTCCCACCCACCTACAATCCCTGACGGTACGAGACTCGAACCCACAACCTTTTGGGTTATGAGTCCGACTCTCTAACCATTAGGCCACGACTTCCCCCCTGGCCCTGGTAACCAAGACCTTAAATTTTCTTAAAGGCCTTAAAGAGCATTTAATAGTATATTGGACTAAATGTAACATCTGATCTTTATAAGAGAGCATCATTGGATTTGCCTGGGAACCCAACGGCGGTAGGTTTGCAGTACTGCATGGAAAATCACCCAGAATAAATGCCTCATTTTACCACGTCAAAAGCAACGGCAAGATTGATCTCATCAGTAAGTTTTTATAGATTAAATCTAAGTTAGTATATTTAATACTATGTAAATCTATGTTAGTAATATTATCCTAATGAATTTGGTATTCAAAATAAAATCATTCTTGTGAATATTCTGTGGTTTTCTAGAGATGTTTGATAACCAGCAGGCCAACAGTATCTTTTGGAGTCCTCAAGGTCAGTTCATGGTACTGGCAGGACTGCGGAGGTTAGTTAATATATTATATTATATTTATTATACTATATTTAAATTGCAAATACCATTCAAAAGTTGGTGTTATGTAATATTGTTTTGTTTTTGAGGTAAGATGTCTCTTACGCTCATCAAGGCTGTATTTATTTGATCAAAAATACAGTAAAAACAATAATTGTGGATTATTATTACAGTTTAAAATAACTATTTTCTATATTAATATAACTTAATGTGTAATTTATTCCTGTGATGGCAACACTGAATTTTAGCATCGTTGCTCCTGTCTTCAGTGTCACATG